AAAAAAAAAAAAAAAAAAAAAAAAAAAATTATTTGCAGGCAACATTTTCCACTTTGCATTTTCCGCCTTCCCCATTTTTCTGGCTGAAGAGCAGGACGGGTTTGGCTCAGTGTGTGTCCTCTCCCAGGCCTTTTAATTTCACTTCACTTTTCTCCCCCTCCTGTAACCACTCGTGTTCTGAAGTTATAGTGCATCAAGGATGTTGTCAATTTTGGTGACCAGCTCCTGGCGCTTGTTGGAATGCAGCTTCTCATTCTCAATGTACGTGTCCTTCTTGAGCTTGCCCGCCACCAATCGCTCTGCCTCCACAGATGACTTCAGCACCAGCTCCTTGACCTGACTGTCGAGCTTCTGGATCTCACTTACCTTGTGGGAGATCAGAACAAAGGGATGTTTAAAAAGAGGACTGAACCTAAATGTAGCCCTGTCCTAAACGGAACAGCTTGTACAAGGGAAGGCCCAACACAGGAGACAGTTATTCTGGGTGAAATGGCTATTCTTCAAGTCACATGGTGTTGAGGGGCCTTCCCTGTGTAGCAGACAAAAATGAGTGAACTAAATGAACAGATGTGTTGAGGGCTGCAGGATTAAGCAGCACAACCAATGAACAAACAGGTTTAAACAGAGCTGCAAGGAACATATGTTAATAGCAATGAGAGAGGAATAACTTTGAAAAGCAAGATGGTGTTTCAATGATACATTACAGCCTTTCAAATCTTGGTGATGACCAGTTCAAACCTAACTCGGGCCAAAAGATGTTTCTTGTGGCTATTTACTGGCTTGGTCTGAGACGCACCAGGTCAGTGAGATTGGTAGGCACAGTTTAAAGCTCTAGTCTGACTGCTGATCAGTAGCACAAACAATGCCAGACTTGGTCACCAGGCCAAGGGCTGAATGGGCCCTGGAGACTAAACTTAGCTCTTCCCATTTGAAAAAGAGAGCTGCTGCAAGTCGTGCATGTGTCAGGATGGTGCATGAGTATGTGGACACATGTGCTGGCTGCCCTGTCCTCACAGAGGAATTGTAGAGAAATTTAGCTGCCCAGACCAGCAAACCAGTAAAAATCTATTACTGATAAATTGACACATGCAGAAAAATATACAATGAACAGGTGAGACTTAACTCTCCCAATGTAAATTTTAGTTTTAAAGTAAGGTGCTAAAATAAGGCAACTCCCCCTTCCCCTAGCATCCTAAAAACATTTGACCCAGGAAGGAAAGTAATTGGCTGACCCCCTATAGGAGCTGTGTGTTTGCCATCTTCACGCAGCCCTGTAGGATAATACAGAAACTCCATAGACTGGGGTTGGCAACAAAGCCATAAGAGCATAAGGCCCCAAAGGCATGTCTCCGTGTTACTGGCTTGGCTAGTAACACAATATGTAACATGTTGGCATGTCTCATCTGCCCAAACATCATAGCTAGGAATTTAATGGCAAGCTGAAAATGACTGCATATTACAAAAGCATTAATGTGTGCCTAGGCACTGGGCTCAGGGGATGTTCCACAGACAGCAAGTGCTAATGTGCCAGGTACCTATTCACCTCCATGTATCTGAGAACTATATAAATGAAAAAACTAACTGCTTTTCAAGAGAGAACATAAGGTGCAGCAGCTAAGCCAAGAGTGTGAGGACATCTCAAATAGTATACAAAGCTCCTAAGAACACAGTTTAGACAGGCAAAAGCTCTTACTTTATCACATAGGTCAGAGCCTTCAGTCTTCAGCTTCGACTGCAGAGAGGCTATTTCACTGGTTAGGACCTTGTGCTCAGTCTCCAAAGTTTTCTTGCCACTGTTCAGAGTGGAGATGTCTCGTGACTGCTTGTATTTGTTCACTGCTTCATCAAAATGGCGGTACAGGCCCAGCCTTTTGTTCACCAGTGTGAGGACTTGCTCTGTAATGCAAGCAACCTTCATCCTGGCTTCAGCAGCTGGGTCCTGCAAGGGGCAGGAAAACAAGACAGGCATTTACAAGGAGCCTGGAAATAGCCAATTCCTTTCATGCTGCCCTTGCCAGATATTAGTAGAGTAGCAAATAGGTTTAAAATGGTCCAAAGGACAGTTAAAAATGATATTGGCACATTTTCAATAGGCTCATAACACAGCCAACTGCAAAAGCTAGCTTTTGCAATCAAATAGGAGAAACCCCTTTTCTCTAGCACCGTATCCCCAAAAGCGTTAGAAGTATAAATTTAATAGGAAGTGAAGAGCACGAGTATCTAATCACCCAGCCTACCTCATAGGTAAATAAAAACAAGGGGAAATGGGGAGTCCTAAGCAGACTGATTCAGGTAGGCTTGTTTCTCTACACCAGACTCCTTTACCTGGAAGCTGAAGTATGGAAAACCCCTTATGCAACTAGACAAACTCAAAAGGACTTTACATATTCAACAACTATGGGAACAAGGGACCACTGATGGACAGAAATATCTTGCTGGAAAGAACTTTCAGCAAGTGGAACTTTTCTCATACTTTCCCAACTATCTTCCCCCACAATGACTGCAGCCTACTGTACAGCACCTTGGTGATGGAGAAGTCCAGTCTCACATAGATGATCACAGTGAAGAACAGGATGTAAAAGGCTCCTACCACCAAAAGGGGCTCCTGCAGCATGAGGATCTTGTTGAAGGTGTAATGCACCTAAAGAACAGTGTAGAGAACAAAGCAGTGACTGACCTTGTTAAGGAAGAAGCCTCAGGCACAGAAAGGTTCCTAAAACCCAAGTGCAGCGACATGGAAGTGGAATGTATCCAGCTCAGCTATTGCTACTGATCAGGAACGTGGCTTGAGGGAATGCCATAGTTTGCATGTCACTCCACAAGTACTCTTAAAGCTGCAAGCTGAACACTACTGTGACTCCCAGGTAAGCATGAAGGAGGCAGGGGCAGTCAGTTTACCTCTCTGTATAAAAGGCCAAGCTTACCACAACGTCCTGGATGTGCTGCTCCACCATGTTGTTCTTGTGCGCCACGATGACAGGGCGGCCAAATGTGTCCAGGTAGGTGTAGTGGAGCTCATCAGCGGCTCGGTTGATCTCATAGGGACTGTCCACATGGATGTTCCTACAAGTAAAACCAGACCCTTTCATGCGAGTCCAAACTGGCTGAGATGGCACAAGCTAAGATTCAGCTGACCAGCCACATCCACAAGCAATTAGTTAGAGACTGAAAATGCAGCCAGTTAAGAAGCGTTTTATAAGTTAGACGCTGCATTCCAAGGTTCCTTCCACACTTGTATCAGCAGTTGTGTTCTGCAGTCCTCAGACCATAACTGCAAGCAGGAGACTTGGCCATCAGCTTAAAGGTGCAGCAGCTCCAGCAGTAACAACCCAGCAGCATTAGCACTTACTTGGCACCTTCTGGCAGGATGATCTTCACAGTCAGAGAGTCTGTTACTTGCTCGTCAAACACATGGTCAACAAACCTCATCTTCAAGGCATATTGATCACCTGAGAGAAGACACAGGATAAAGATTAGACTCCCTGCAAGAACAAGACGAGTCCCAGTGTCTTTCCATTTCAACACTAGAAGCAGCAGAGTCAAAGACTGGGGTTGGGTGCATCCATCCACAGACGGCTACTTCATTCCACTGAAAATGTTAAGTTTTAACCAGAAGCCAAGGGCTTCTAGAGGAGTCTCTGCAGCCCACGTGTACAATACAGGAGTACTAACTAACACCACACACAAGGAGGTTCCCCTACATCGTGTAGTCATCGCAAAGGGCCACCTAGTCCCTTGCTACCCACCGAGGTTGTAGAGGTATTCGTAGCTGGGCAGGTTGTAGCCAATGATATAATGGGTCTTCCAACCCCCAAAAAGTGGGAACCGGGGACGGATCTCCATCTCCACAGAGTCATCCAGGATGAGCAAGTGGCTGGTAGAGATGTTTCCAATTTCATCTCGGTAATACACATCCTGAGCTGCCGCAGGAAGAATAGTCTGCAGGGGAGAGAGAAGCAGCACTCAGTGCCCTGGCTGAAGACAGAGGACTACCTTAATACAAACAAAGCAGTGGAGGACAACACTTGGCTAAGCATCAGACAGGAGGCGTTTCCTCACTCGTGTTCTTATGCACAAAGCCACGCGACTGCTCAGCTGCATCAAAGACTAAGGGAACAGATCAGCAGCAGTGACTGCCAATATAAACATTAGCAACGGACAAGGAAGCTCTATAGCAGGGGTGGGCAAAATGCAGCCCATGGGCTGGATGGGACCTGCCTGCCATTTTATTTGGCCCACAAGGCCCCTAAAAATTTAGAAAATTAATATTAATCTGCCTCTGGCTGCCTGTCACGCAGCCCTCGATGGCTTGCCAAAACTCAGTAAGCGGCCCTCCGCCCAAAATAATTACTCATCCCTGCTCTATAGGATAGCCCAGCCTATGGCTCCATAGTCAAAATAGGGCTGATTCCTACAGAACATTAGTGGTGTTTTGCCCAGTCCTGCGGCAAAATCCCAAGCAAGATGGGTCCCACTGTTTATCCCAAAATCATTCCTGGCTGGCTGACCCTGGAGGCCCAATTTAATTCCTCTTTCAATGGTCAAAAGTTGCCTTGTTACAGTGGATCTGGTTAATCCCAAACTGGCATCAGTGTGCTAGGCATAGGCAGGCAAAACCCAAATGATTTTGCTGAAGTGGGGAAGCAATGCATGGAGACCCTTGCACCCAATTAAGAAAGCCACAGCATTGACCACCTCTGTAATTGTTCACTGGTCAGAGAATGAATTGATAGTAGCCACTGCCACCTTTCATCACAGCACTGGCAGGTGGTGGTATAGGAGAAGAAGGAATGAAGAAGCAAAGAACCCTTGCCACTGACAGGTTGGAGTGGGGGAGAACTCAAGAGCTCCTGGCAGAAACAACAGGTAAAAGGTTGCAGGAAGGCACTGAAAGAGAAGGAGGGGAGTGGAGGCTGGCACATAGGGAGCTTGTACAGACAACTGACGGGAGTTTGTAATGAGCTCAACCTGCAAATGGAACAAAAGGTAAGACAGTCCAGTGAGATCTACCCCATGTCCTTCCCTCTCTGGTCATTACTGCCTGCAAATATAGGAAAGCTTTCTGCATTCCCCCGCCAGCATCATTTGTGCAACGTTGCAGAACAACAGAAGCAAGGGCATGGGCAATGCAGTAATAAAACAGACAGCCCCCAATACAAACCTTAAAAGATTTGACAGAAGAGATTCCACTGTCTGGCTGTCGCTGGTAGTCATATCTGGAGAAAGGCCCCTTGAGCACAGCTCCTGTATGCTTCAAGTCAACTGTTTCTTCTACAGCAATGTTCCCCCAGTGTGACACTTCTATGACCCGTGTCATGCTGGTGATGGTTAGGAACGGACTGTTATTTTCATAGTGGACCTTCAGGGTGTCCTAACAAGGAGAGAAAAGATTATATAAAACCAGACTGGAAAGTATCTGAATCCTTGCCTTAAAAAAAATTCCTGCCCAGTCCAATTCTAGATTGAGGCATTTAGCTTGGTGAAATTAGTCACAAGGGGCATTGAGGGATAACTTTTTGATGGTTACAGGAACTAGTTACCCAATACACTGCACTTCCATGTACAGCCCAAGGCTAATGTACTTCAGTTGGGGCTCTGCTCCAAAGCCCAGCAGACATCAATCAAAGCACTTTAGCACAAGAATGAAATGAAGGTACTGAATGCATCTGCTTGGGTTTCATGAAAATACATGGCAAATTAACAAGGACAGATTCAAGAAGCTCCACAGGTAGATTCATAGATTCATAGATTAAGGGTCGGAAGGGACCTAGTAGATCTTCTAGCCCGACCCCCCGCCAGGGCGGGAGAACAACAAAAACCCCAAAAACCCCAAAAACCCCAAAGTACTAAGGTTTCATGTGCTGGCGCAGGCAATATTCACCTGCAGCTAGGAGTTCAGGTGCCTAGCTGAATCTTGTCTTGGTGCCAAATTTAACTGGGAAACTTGCAACAAGAATGCTGATGCTGGCTATTAAAGAAAATCCATAAGGAGCACGGCTGTAGGTTAAGAGAATGTCTCCTCTCTGGACTGTCCCACAAACTTCCTTGACAGAGAGGGATTCAGAGAAGCAAGTGTTTGCACCTCAGCATCTCATTGCCAGCATCTTTTTTTGATTTCCAGAATGGACTGAGTGTTGCTGAACTGACAGTCCCAGCTGGGGACTAGAGAGTTACCTGCTCTATACCTGGAGCAGGTAAAAAAGGCAGAAGTTCAAGCTTGCCACAAACATCCAGGACTAGGAAAGACCCCTCCCTATGTGATCCCTACTGGCAGTGTCTACAGAGAGGCCAAATCCAGAAGCAATTAATCCCAGTGCAGTGGCTTTGTCCTACAGGCACTTGCCCATTAGGAACTGAACTTAAACAGGCCAAACTCAGTTTGCTTAGAGTCCTAGTGTAGATATAACCTTGTTCAGACTGGAATCTATGAAAGAAACAAAAGCCTCCATGCCCCAACTTCAGTTCCCAGGGCTGTAATTCACATTTACAAGGTGGATTCTTCAGGGGAACAATAGGTCCCAATCTACTTTCAGGAGCCTGTAGCAGGTAGGATTTCATTTGCCAGAAGTGCTTACCTGGCTGTAAGGTGGGATGTCCTTGAAAGGCCCATACTCTAACATATCCTCGGACCGGGAGGGATTACCCAGCTTGGTATAACTCTCTATGTTCCTAGAGGCCAGCTTCACACGTGTAGTCTGGGTCTTGGTTGGGTATGGCGAATAGAAATAGTGATTCCCTTCAAAGACCACAAACTGCTTCTCAGCCTGCGTGATGTGCGTGGGGTAGGGCTGCAGGACGTGTGTGAACACCATTTCAACAGACACCCGGATCTTGGCCCCTGGTGCCAGAGGAGATGGCAACTTTACGGTGAAGAACTTTCCACTGGAAAGAAGTAGAGCAGGGAAGATGTGAATGTCAGGATATCAACTTGCCTGAGGCTCCTCCACAAGCTCCTGGAACACATACTGCAGAGGGACTTTGGAAGCGTTCCACTCACTCTCAAAAGAGCCCTGCTACAGGCTGGGGAGTTTGGTGAGTCTTACAGGATGAACTTTAAAGCAGACCTCCCCTGACAGCCTGCTAATTTTGCTCCTCAGCATACATTTACTACACTGGATTAGGGAAGTTTACATCTAACTGGTGATAAGGTAAACCCAGGAAGTTTTCCTGAGCGAGTCAGAACCAGGCTCCTTCTGGGCTAGGGGCTACAGGATCATTTGATACTGCAGAATTTGCCATGGTGTGGCATGTCCCACATTACCACCAAAACTAGTAGCTGTGCAGGCAGTGCTCAGCACAGTCCCTCTAGACCCCTCCCAGGGGCCTGAATATTTCTTCTACATATGTCTCTAATTAAAGGAATGAGAACGCATCACTGAAGTGGTGTGACAGGAGAGCTCTGGAGGAAGCTGAGACCCAAGGGACATCCCTACAAACTGCAGGACAGTGGAGGCCAGGTGAAGCTCCTGAGCCTGATTCGCTAAATGCTGCACAGCTATAATTGCAGCCTTTATAAAGACCAAGCAGGCTGTAGGAGGTAAAACTATTAGAGGGGCCTTTTTCCTATACTGACTAGGAATCTAGCTGTGTGCTATCTGGTTTAGGTTTGTATATGCTTTGATTCACCACAGTACTCAGCACAGAGCTAGAACACCACAGGGGGCACTGATCAAGCATGTTTTTTAAAACGGAGCAGAAGAATCTCCTACCACATGGGGTTGGGAGTGGGACTGGCATCAGCATGATGTGTTAACTGTACTCTCCTATTGTTCTACAGCCGCACAACAGGCAAGGCTGTAGCATGAAGCAGAAAGTGGGTCACTGCATAAGTAAAGGACACCAGTGTCAACGATACTAGTACTGGGGCTACCTTAGGAGCTGTGAAAGAGTTGCTGATATAGCAGAATCAGCAGGCAGGTCTACTTCCCTGCAAAAGGTGACCATCTGGAATGGGTGAGTTATGGGTATTTGTTCCCATCAGAAACGTTTTACCGTTGGAGGGCAAGACTCACCTTTTACCTTTAACTTTAGTCTCCCGCACTTCCAGAGTGTTCTCCTCTTCCTCCTCACCTTTTACCTGTCTCAAAACAAGCTTCATCAACATGACACC